AAATCTGAGATGATTATTCGAAAGTGGCGAAAATAAAATCACTAAAAAGCTTATTTACAAATTTTTTAGTATGTGACGGCCAATAACCCGCGCGTACACCTAGTAAATGTAAAACCTTTTTCCTCGAGGACGATGATGCGAAACTCTCGAATTCGAACCGGTATATTATTAGGTCTTTGATTTGGACAAACCTGATCCGGTTCTAACCGAACTAAATTATTTAACTTGGTTTTATTTTCGAACTGATTTTCTTTTTGGAAAGCATCCCCCATCGAAGTACGTATAATTATTTCACTAATCGGTTCGGAAATCGAAATATAGATAAAAAAAGGTTCCAAACCAATACAAGAAAGAGTAAAAAATACATGTAAAGGATACTGCAATACAATTTATACAACAAAGAACAAAAAAAATTACACAACAAAGATACTCAATACACATGTTTTTCCTTATGTACTCATCAAAAGGGAGTGCTCACTTGTGTATGTATATATTTGATTACATCACTCAGCTTCGACTAATTTTGCTTCTCCAAGAGACCAACCGTTTTGTAATAGAAACCGACCAGTCCTTTTATAAAAGAAAGAGAGAGAAAAAAAATGGCAGTTTTCATTGTGATACTCTATTTTCATGTAGAAAAGCGACTATTATTATACCTATATGTCCAATGTTTCTGCTGGTGCCTCCTCTTTCTCATCACCACTTTCCTCATTCACATCTTTGGTGGTGGTCTTTCCGTCTTTCTGGAGAGCACGAAGCATCGCAGAGTTCACCTGTTTTCTCAGTTTCGCATTCTCAACAAAGATATTTGCCAGTATCTTCCTCAGCTCGTCCTCCATGATTCTTGTTTCAGTGTCGATGCTGGGATCTTTATCGGTGCCTTGCGCAGCAGCGTTTTCATCAAACCCGGCAAGCAGATGAGCCTGAAATTGGCCAACATTGTTAAAAATTGTAAAATGCATATCATCATAACACAGGTTTTTATCGGAATGCTATCACTAATGCAGCAAAAGCCTAAGTATCCTACACTACCAAATAACTTTATCCTGATGCCTATATCAAGAAGCAGCGAAAAGTAATTCCTATTAGAGGAAACCTTGGATAGGACTGGATGTAGTAAGTTTTTTTTTTTTGGTCATAACTGGATGTAGTAAGTTGGGAACTATGAGATTTTCATGAGGAGGTAAAGCAGAGATGCAGCATTATCTCCTCAATTTGATCATCAGATATTGACAGCAAACGCCAAGCGTCTGAGACTGTAGTTGAATCCTCTACAAAGTTACCGCTTCCGTCCATTGACAAATTCAAATTGTACTCTTTAAGTCGGTCGTGGATAATTCTGCAGTCACTAAGAAGCTTCTTTCTAGCTGCTACCGTGTTCTCAAGTACTTTTCTTTCCTCTTGGAGTAGTTTCTGAAAAGTGAAACATGATCCAGTCTCAGTTGTGTTGTCTCTCTTGGAGTAAAAATCCACAAACCCATGGTGCTGCCAAATAAGAAAATATATAAAATACTATTCGAGCCAGAAATTACCTCAGTTTCAGTTTTATCTGTCAAAGATTGAGTCAGCTCCTTTTCTAGTTCCACATGAGAACGCCTTAGAGATTTTACCTCTTTGACAAGAACTTTAATATCTGCTTTTGATTTTGCCTCTAATTCTTCACATCGCCTAGAGAGATCTTCTAGTTGTTGTTTTCTGGCATCCAATTCTTTCGACAAAACATATTTCTCAGAAATAGTTGACAGTTCAGTGGGTTCTGCATGAGAGCCCCCATCCTGTTGCAATGATTGGCCTCAGCATGCTTCTCTAGTAGAGGGAAATTATGTACGATCTATGCGGACCAGTTTGGTTGTGAAATTAATTTAACAGACATGGAAGTATTTCAAATCATACCTCTCCAGATTTTAACTTCATTTCCATCTCGTAAGATTTTTTTCTAAGTTCTTCCATATCCCACTGCATTTGAGTAAATCTTTCCCTCTCGGTCATAATAGCTTGCTCCAAATTCTCTTTGCTTCTCTGCTTAGTAGTTTCAAGCTCCCCTTCTAGATCATTAACCTGAGCAATTAAAACAAGATTACAACACTACCATTCACTAACATCTTCTCATCGAATTCATGGTTACTTTTCTTATTGTACCTTTTTGTTCAGGTAATCCTTCACCGCTAATCCTTCACCGCTATCTCTTGATTTAGTCTTGCAATAAGATCCTCCATATCTGTTTCTCCATTGACAAGTCTCTCGTTCGTGGCTAACAGAATCCTGTTCAACTTATTACGCAGGTCCAGTGGAAGAACTATTTGTGCACTACCCTGCCTCTCCGGGTTATAAACAAGCCCAGTTCCAAGCGGTAGACCAGGTGGCTATCACTGCTTGAACTTAGGAGACCAGATGTTGATGTCTCCCCGGTGTGTAGAGCAAACCCGTCAGCACTCTCAACAGAAAATTTTCTATCATGCATCACTGAGTGATTTGATGATTCTGGTTCAGAGAGAACTCATGAGCCATTATACACATCCTTCCCTAGATTATTATTGACATATCTTGAGCGGACTTTATGTTTGGCTCATTGAAAGTCCCTCGTCAATGTTGGACATGCTAAAGTTAACGAGCTTCTCTATTGGATTTGTTACTTCTTCATCCAAAGTTAGATCTTCGGCACCAATTTCAGAAATATCATCCTGTCCTAAACTTGGTGATCCAAGCTCCGATGTTTCATATGCAGTATCACTGCCATAATCCGATGTGAGAAAAGAACTGCCGCCAGCCTGAAACAAGCTCAAACTTGGGTGGAACATTGGCGAGGAACTTGTGCTATTTCTATCATTATTGGCATCAGAAGCATTCTGATCCACATCTTGGCATGCTGAAAATATATATCACATTAGACTCTAATGACACTAAACAGCATTAACTAATGCACGGCCTAAGTGCATAATATAAATTATGCATACCAGACCTAGCAGCAGCTTCTAGTTCAAGAAAGGATGCAAGTACGACACTTCTTGCCAATTCTATAAGCTTCGTTATCCACTTCTTGCCAATTCTATATCAGATAAACTTTTTCTGGGAAATGCTCTTTTAAGCTGAAAGGAAAAAATGAATGTGCATACGATAAAAGCTTTAATTTTTTATTTTACAAAATAGTTAGCAAT